AAAGTAAACGTTTTATCAATTTTTGAAAAATCAAGAAAAAAGTGAAAATTTCCCTTCTCGCTACCTTAAGGCCTTTCACTCCTCCTTGATGCCTAAATTAGAGTTACGCCAATTTAAAAGATTATACGGAATGCGACAAAAAACATGAAATGTCACAAGTTTTCAGTCTTCACATTTATTTTTATATCCAAATCACGATAATTTAACTTTTTTTTTAAATTCACTTCATTGTATATTTTATTACACTCCTGTCAAAAAATGAATCATTAAGTTTTCATTATGGTATAATGAATATTATTATTGAATATATACAATGGACAATGCAGGCACAGCTGAACAGTGGTTTAGTTTACTAAAAATACAAGAGAGTATTCATATAACGTTGCAGCTAGTGAACAACAGATGTTGAATTCACACATGAGTTGAGTACGACACTCAGGTGTCGCTGCATGAAGCTCAAAATGACTCGAAACAAAAATACAGAGTTAAACTATAGTCTGACAGTACTCTGTCGGAAAATGATTGCCCGATTAATGAAGAATATTTCCAAAGTTGTTTTACAGTTTTGAAAAGTATAAGCTTTCTTGCTTAGCACAATTTGTTAAACAACAAACAAAATAGCGTCCTTAATTGACCAAAAGCCTACTCATTCATACAGTTTCAAATGCAACACTATAAATGTAAACTTACAGAACTTGAGTCAGTAAAATATGTGGTTATTACAGAAAACATACTTTTAATTTATAGCTTCATAGTCATAAGATTAGGAGGCAGACAAACCTGGTTATGAATTTGATAGAATACAGTAACATCATATTCTAAAACTTAGAAATGATTAGTCTAAGGCACGTTTGAAGGACATTTAATAAACATGTAATCGTAAATAAAATATTTTTCTCAATTACACATCAACTATACCATATTGTATATTAATTTGCACTCTTTATATTTCAATGAAGCAATGATGATATTATTTTTTTCTAAGTAGTTTCTAGCCCTGAGTACA